TGAAACCAAGAAAAGCCTTGACATCAGAATTGGGTCTCCTGTGGAAACTGTCCTCTGGTTCTTTGGGTGGAATCAGCTTTACAATTCTCTTCAATGTAATTAACCAAAGCCTCAGGAAGTATTTACTGAACAGCGTTATGAGACCTGTGTAAAACTGTTAGGTGGGTGTCTGGGCTATTTCTCTGAGTAGTGAATGAAGTTTTAGAAACTTCTACGAATAGTAGAGCTGGAAGCCTTTTTTTCAAAATGAATGTTTATGTCCTGCAGAAACCCACATAAATGGATTAGGATTTAATCTTCTTCTAAACCTCCTCCAACAGTAACCATGATAAAGGTTATTTGGCCTGTTTCGTGATATATGAAAATTTGATAGGTTATCAGCAGTGATCCGCTGTGGGATATTACTTCAGATTATCTGGTTTACCCCCAGCCTTTCAGCGGACATGTGGTTGTGCTTCAGGTCTTGTTATTGCCGGTAAGCTAGACAATCATTTGCTGCAATTTTAGGTAACGATGCAACTAAATTTCTCGTCTTTGTTTAGAGACAAAAATGTGTTAAGAGCCGATCTAGACCTCGAAATAAGAATCTGTTGGTCAACTATTTTAACTTTAAATATAGGGTAATATTTCAACAATTAAACATTGAAAACTGTTAATTGAAAATTAATCTTGGCTATGGCTTCCTTTTCTGTTTTTCTTCTGTACATAAGAGTAGAGAACTGGTTTGTGGTATCATTTTTTTTTCCTAAGGGAAAAATTTTGGTACAGAAATTTGTTACTTTTTTATCCTTTCTTTTCCTAATTTGCTTTCTATTCTTTTTTTCATGCATAGACCCTCCTCATGGTTTGCTGCATCTTTTTTCCCAACATGTAGCATGTGTTCTGGAAATTTGCTACTTTTATTTGTCTATGCCATTTTTCTTTTTCATTGCATTGAAAAAAGATTGCATTTCCTTTGATTGTCTTCAGATATTTGTAATCGACTGCTGTGTTATGTGTCTTGGGGGTTTTGTTTGGGTTTTTTATTTTGTTGTTTGGTTGTTTTATTTGTGTTTTTTTTTAGTACCCATGCTATTAGAGGTCGAGTTTGTGTGTGTGCATGGCATGGTTTTAGATGCTTATTTTGCACTGACAAAATTGATAGGTACTAATCTGATAGCTGATAAATGTTGGGCTGCTGCTTACGTATCCTTTTCATGTGTTATTTATGCCTGAAAGAGATTTACAAACATGCTCACCTTAATAAATAAATTTAGCGTTGCAATATTTAAAAATAAGGAGTTAAGGATTTTAAGTTAACTGGGGATACATATGTATAATTTAACACTGTTCAGTAAGAGATGTAAATTTTGAGCTTAGATGTGTGGGAAATGTGAATTTCTGTCATTATATAGTCACAGGCATGTCTATAAAGCTATGCCAAATGATAATATTTGCATAAACATTTATATAAATGTGATATACTTGCACAGCATTTGTAGCGTTTTTATATCTAACTTAATTTACCATTTCACAATGAGACTGAGTTGAACCAACAGCTAAGTGCTTCCAAAATGGAAAATAGCATTCCTTTTGTTTGAGTTCCTCAAGTTGGGATTTAGTGGTGCAAAGACTATGGTGTTTGTTGCCTTTTACACAGAAATCAATAAGCATGTGAAGTGAATATGGTATCTTTTACGATTCAGCATAGTCTATGTGTTTCTAAAGGAGATGCTGTTTCATGATCAAATAGGGGAAAACTTGATATTAGGGTGTTTTCTGATAGTTGGAAGGATTTTTCCCATAGTTTTACTAAGAAATGCTGAGGTATATAATTTGAGATTAGCATAGTCTGGCATTGTCTAATGTTCTGTATTTTTATGCAATCCACTCAAAACCAAGGCTGTTTCATTTTGCGTGGGTTGGTTGATTTATTTATTTTTTTTAAAATAGTGAGCATGTAGCTCTTAATTTGCTTTTGGAAGGCACTAGCAGGTGAATTAGAGGAATTGAATCTAAATTTCTAGTTTGTTGTTTATGTCATTTTGAACTAAAACCCTAGTAATGCTTGTAAAATGAAAGGGGGGATTTCGTAGGGTGGGAGGACAGTTACAGAAAAAAGAAAGAAGTGTAATTCTTCATGTTTCTTCATACAGAGACACGCATGTGGGATTGAAGCTCATAGTGGCAGAAGTGTAATTCTTAATGTTTCTTCATATAGAGACACGCATGTGGGATTGAAGCTCATAGTAACTGTCAGCATATTCCCTTAAGTACGGTACTTTGCCTGTGATTTTTGAAAGAATCAATCACTTGCAGCAATTTGTGTAATAACATTCTTGCGGGTGATTCTACTATTTTATTTATGCTTTTTGCCTGGTTCACCAGAATGCAATGCCTTTGCTCCTTGGTACAGTAAATGCACTCTGTAATATCTATTATGGTACGGTCAAAGGATAATTTATTGTCAGACAGAAAAATAGGTCAACACTAATGTCACTTGATGATCAACCCCCCAAGTTTAATAAAACACCTCACCAGCACACATTCTGCACAGTGCTTGATGTTTTATTAGGACTACAGTACCTTACAGTACCTAGCTATAGCAGGAGTGTAATTACTGAGCTGTCAGGGTGATAAGTGGGATTAATGGTAGCCTGGTGCACTTTAGTCTGCGGAGTGCTCAGAGAATCGGAAGATGGTATTATTATAAGAGAAAGTCTGGACTGGCATATTCATGGCACCCTCCCCTCCTCCCCAAAGCTCACATTCAAGTTGGTGTTACCCACCTCCCCCAGTAGCTGACATTTTCAACAGCTGTTATTTGTGAACCAGCTCAAAAATCAAGAGAGAAATAATTTGATAAAGAGGCTTGCTAGCCACAACTGGTAATCTGTATGCTGTTTATCCTGCTAGGTGCCATTCTAGTAATTTTTGGCATCAGATTGTTCTAGATATAATCCACAGAAATGTATTTTAAGTGCAATGTTTTTGGTCTCGGATGCAGGACAGCTCTATTTTAAAGGAAACCACAGAGAGGAATGTGAAGGGCAAAAAAGTCGTAATGGATTTGTTGCCTTTTTAAAATGTGTGATTTTCCATTTCTGTTATTTCTTTACTGCCTGCACGGGCAAAATGATCAATCCGAGCCCTCATAGTGGTGTATTTTGTCTAGTGTATCTCCTGTTGTGGTTGGTTTGGTTGGTTGGTTGGTTTTTTTTTTTTTCTGGCTTCTAGTACTAAAAATTTGCTGTCTTTCAGCCTGCTTGGAATGCTAAGAGCATTCTCTTGACTTGGTGCTGTGGCCACATCAACCCTTTGAGGTCTCCACTGGCCTGCCTTTGCTTGTTAAGGTATTTCTAACGTGCCTGTTAGTGAGTAGCGCTGGGCAGTGGTATGTTTAACTGCCACTGCTGAACTTGCTGTGCTCCTCTGCCAGAGCCCTCTGACATCCTGAGTAGTTGAACTAGTAACCACCATGGTGTTGAACATGGATTTAACTCTATTGGATTGCTCAGCTTTTGCAGCCTGTGAGACCTGTTTTCCTTTAAATATTTCCTCTGGGATGTTTTTCTCATGACTACTTCTGTGACAACATCCAAATAGCCTACCACATGTGCCTTCAAATTTTGCTGGTGCCGTGGTGTCTGCCATACTCAGCTAGATGATAATGAATAGGAAGATGAAAGGCTAATTAATCTTTGAGTTAACTGGCTTTGCTTTCTCTCTTATTCCACCCCTAATAATAAAAAAGAAAAAAAAAAGGAAAACAAAAGCAATGCATGTGATTGACAAAGTCAGGCCAGTTTTTCACTGCAGGCATTTCATTTCTTATAACGTGCTCTTCATTTCTTTGTGCGTGTAGTCCATAGTTCTCTTGCAGCTTTTCTGTGTTTGAAAATATTCTGTCCCACCTCCACTGTGTTATTATCTATCACTAAGTAACAATAATTAAGGTGGATTTGTGGGACTTAGGTAAGTAGCTGTGCTCAGATAAACGTAATAACCAAATTTTATTTCCTTTTCCATAGATTGTTAAAACCACAGTTTACATAAATTCTGTATGTTAGTAAAACAATATTGAAAGAGCATCTGGAATAATTTAATGAATCCTGAGATAATTAGTAGAGTGGCATTTGACCTATGATAATCACTGATACATAAAACCAAAAGTGTTTACAAATACCTTTGTGTTTAACTGGGTACCATTTTACTTCAGCTGACTTTTACCTTTTGCTGTTAGGTTTGCTTACTGCAAATTGTAGAGATGACCCCGAGAGCTTAATTCTTAGATGGGACTTGTCCAAACAACCAAGACCAGTACAGGAACGGACAATAAATCATTGCTACTTAGTATATTTTAATATACAGTTAGGTTTTGTCATTAGGGATGAGAAGAGGATCCTTGGGATTTCAGTTGGGAATATGCGGAAGACTACTGAATTGTTTTCGGAAGTCACAGAGGTATCACACAAAACTCATAGAAAAGTGACTCGAAAATGTATCAGCCGTTCTTATTCTTTGGCACATACAGTAGAAAGGAGTTGCTTCCTCTGTGGAAATACCGATGCTTTGGTATGTCTGACTGTCCAACATCCAGAATTTAATCCACAGTGACACTTCCAGAACATTGTTAATAAATTCAGATTCACAACACAGTGGTTTTTCAAATAGAAAAATGAAATGATCAGAAATTTAGCGATCTTGGATTCCAGGGAAAAAATTATTTCTATGTTATTAAACATTGTTTCCTAATAGTTAGACATGTGTTTGTAACTGCACCCTACTGCCTTCCTTTGTAAAGTGGAGTAAACAGGACATAACCAATCCATGTTGAGTACAAGTCAGTAAAGACCATGTAGCGTTTTGAGACTTTAAACGGAAACGTTATGAAAATGCTCTGTATTATTCCTTTGTGGCTTATCTTCTACCATGCTAACTTGAAAACCTCATGCTTGAAAATCTTATTGGCAGCATTTGTATTCCGTGTCTTCTTGATGTGTTTTCTTTTATTGCTGTAGATGCTTGAAGTGTGCAGATGCCCCCTGTCAGAAGAGCTGCCCCACTAATCTGGACATCAAGTCATTCATCACAAGTATTGCAAACAAGGTAAAATCAGGAAGCAGATAACAGCTGTTGCTTGCAGTTCTGTTAGCGAGATTGCATTTCAAGGTTTATTTCTGTAAAGTCTTAAAAAAATAGTGTTTAAAACAGATACTTTAAAGTTCAACAGTCATCTAATTTTTGGTTATTTTTGTGGCTGTTCTGTGCCTGTACAGATAGTGTACAGATCAAATCTTATTTCTTCATGTCACTTTTTCTAGATAGTTTTTGGTTTTGTTGGTTTTCAAAGATAATGATATTGAAGAAACTGAGCATTACCATGTAATTGTTTAACTTTGCTGCTACCTGAGATGATATAGATACAAACCTTTTCTTTAATTAAAGATTTTTTTTTAAGTGACGGTAGTTTATATTTGCTTTGGGTAGAAATTTGGCGTGAAGGTGGTCGATTCAAGGAATGTTTTCTTGTGATTTTTAGTAAGAGGCTTTAATGCAAATGTAGTCAGTCATTTAGGCTATTAATAAAATACTACAGGAATAAATTGAACCCCCACTTTGGAGGTACCATACCTTTTCCTTTCTTAATAGGCTATTATATTATAATCATAATGAAATCTTAAAAACATTATTTTGATTTGTGGTTTACAAATGACTTTCAACAGTCAGAAAGAGAAATAAATAAAGATGACTGCAAAGTTGATATGACAAGATTAATTAGGCTGTCTGGGATTGCCTAAAGATGACTGGATATTGATTGCCTCATACCTTTTAAAACTTAGTTCCCATCTGTGGAATCATTAGCTGCCAAGTGATTTATTTGTCTGTATGAGCCCATCCAGAGCAATAATCTACTGGGGGTGCTGCAAAGATTTTCTGGTCGCATTTTATGCTCTACCATGTCTCACTGTTAGATGCAGATGCAAGGGCCAGTGCCAGTAAAGCTGGAATGAAGCTGGCAACAGCAGCGCTGCCGTGTGCGAGTTAACAGCCACACTGCTTTTACTACACTGTGTTATGTGGAGAAGGCACCGGTAAATTCTGCACCTTAACAAGAAACATTAGAATAAGAGGAGATATTAAGATCTATGTATCAATTACGACATAACTATGTGTTGCTGTGGTTTACAGTAATTGGCATTATGCCCAGCATCTGCATATAGACAGTTTTCTTATATAATCTGTACCCTGTCAGTGCAGCATTTATTTTCATGAATGTAAGCATCTGTTTGCAACCATAGTATGGTATGCAGCATGTTGCTGCTTATTACCTCTTCCAGGCATTGAGAAACAGGCAAACTGAACAGAGAAGATACAAGGAAGTAGTGAAACTGCTCGTCTCCATCTCGTCATTGTGCTGTAGCTTGCTTAGGAAACCTAAAGCAAATTTTATACAAGTGTTTTACCAGGATGGTCTTTTCTTATTAAGGTTTAGTTATGCTACTACCTTGGGTAGGATAGGGTGATGTGTTATTGAGGAAAGGAAAAGGACCTACTTATCAAAACATAAAAGCTGGGCATAAGGAACCAGGGAAGGTGGACTGCAGACTGCAATGGAAGATGTCAGAAGGGCTGACACCAGCAGCATATTGGAATGAGAAATTTGATGGGTCTTTTAAACTGATAGCCTCAGAAGTATGGTGCCATTTTGTGTCTTGGCAGAAAGGGTAAGTTACTTTAACAGCTGATTCTTTCTCAATTCTGTGAATCCATTGCAAAGGAGAGAAAATCAAGGTGTGGTGACTGTAGAGCTTTGAGAGTTGTATTTTTGCAAAGGTGTACTGAAATGATATTAGGAAACTGCATCAAAGATGTGAAGTCTGCCCTGCTGAAGCCAGTGGCTTCTTACAGGTTTTAATAGGGCCAGATTTAATCTGCCAGATCCTGAGGTGGATCAATCCTATAGAGTTTGGGATGTTTTAAATCATCTTGGAAGCTGCAGATGCTAGGTGAGGCTGGTTTTGCCCTGAGCAGGTGACCTGATCACTTGCTGTTTTATGAGAAAATCCTGCTTTAGAAAAAGAATCGCAGTATCCTACTATTCTCTCAAGAAATTTAACATTCTTTAAGGAAAAAAGCTAAGTATCTTAGATTGCTGAAACGTACTTTTAGCCTTTCTTTGTGGACTCTGTCCCTGACTATCTACAGCTTCTGTGTCCACTCTGAAACTAAGTTTTATAAAAGGTAGACAGTAGTTTTGGTAACCACTTTTACCTCATGTTGGTGCCTGATAATTGCATAGGCAGCAGGAAACATTCCCAAAGGGGAAGTTTAAAAAAGTCAGGTAGTTTCTGCTAGCCAAAATATTAGGACTGGAAATTGCATGCCTAAAATCAGCACTGCATCTGTGAAATCCAGTTCCAAGTGTGAGTTTATATACAGTCCTTTGCTTTCTCTCCTTCCCCTATTGGATGACATGCGATACAGTATGGTTGTGGAAGCATTTCTCTGCAACAGCTCTAATGCCAACTTTAAAAACAAACAGAAAACCAAACCAAACCAAAAACAAACCCAAAAAACTGGAATTGAGAAAAACCCACAACCAGATATGCTTAGCAAATAGCTGCAGTCATGAGCTGAGAAACAGGGCTAGGAAGTCCTGCGTATTTGTGGCCTCCGTGTCAGTGCCTCTGCCTCCTGTAATTCATGTAGCAAGCAGCTTCTTAGGGAAGGAATCAGTGTGTTGAGAGAACCTGACCTTGGCTTGGTGGCTGCAGTCTGCTAGGCTGAATTTTCCTTTTGATTAATTTGTTTCTAGTGCCTTCACTAAAAAATGTTTCTACTATAACAAATTCTGTTCTTCAGAAAAAGTAACAGTAAATTATTTTGGTTTCTTTTATTACTAGGATCTTTTTTCTAGGTGCAGATATGTACTACTGTTTTTACACTACTGCACTTTGAAACTCTGCTTTCTGCCAAGCAAGGTGGAAGTTGAGAGAGGGGTATGAAGAGCTGAAATTATTCACCTCAATTCATGACCCTGGCAGAATCTGTGGGAGCCCACCACGATGGCTGCTCCTGCGGTGTCCTCCCCCCTCTTTCATTCTGCTGCTGTGCTGGTTGTGGTACCTGCCCCATACACTTCAACAGTAGATAGAAAACAACAACAGTGTGCTTTTGAAAACCACACTAAAACTTCTAACTTATCATTTTGAAAGTTTTTAATGGAACCAGTAAGTATTTTTTCACTTTGTTGTGCATTTTTCTATAATTTTATTGAAAGAATTGTGCAGATATCATTCAGCGATCTGCTTGCTGAATATTTTTGTATTATTGTCATAGAAGTATTTACTTCAGATGATCAAGGATATTTTACATGTCATTGAAATTACTTTTCAAAGTGATAAATCTTTTTTGCTGTTTTCACTTTGTAAATAAACTTTAGTTTTTCATCCAAAAGCTTATAGCTATGTCTGGTAGCTTCTAGACAAAACAAATAGGTGGAGCATAGAACCGTCAGGTTTTTGAGGTCAATGAGTCCAGAAAATTGGGGTACACTTTCTAGGCTTATTGAAGTCCCTCTCCTGCTTGTGAATCTCTCTTCATCACTCACTTCACTCACTTCAGAAACTTCCTTCTACTTATTTAAGGAAGACTCAGTTCAATAAATTCCTTGTCCGCATCCCTGTGTAAGCAGTAAGCAGTACTGCATGCAGGTATTTCTTTAAACGTGATTCATTATTAATACAGAGTATTTAGACAGCAGCGTACTGAAAATGAATTACTTTGTCAGGTATTTAAGAGCTCTACTGTATGTAGTTTGTTTTGTTGGAAAACTGCTATAGCAATCATAAAAGGTCAGGGATTCTTGTTCTCTAAAGCCTGAGGCTTTTTAGATATTTACAGGCCATGTACAATGTAGCTGTTCTGGCTGTTCTGCCATTAGACCTGGGCTCAGGAGTAGAAGAGGGACAGGGGAGGAGGGGTTGTTTCTGGGTTGAGAGGGTAATTGAATTGCCAGACTCAATGAGCCTTGAGCCTCTTTGAGAAAAAGGATGTCACTTATGCTGTATTGTGTTAGCTGCTGTGACTCAGTAGAGTTTAGGCCACAACTTCCATTCTCTTTTTCCATATAAACTGGATTACAACTCCACTTTATAAAGGTACAATCTATTCTATTGTGTCTTCCCAGTCAGTGTATCTCGGTTCATACAGACTGCTTGCAATTGTGTCTCTAGGAGACCAGACTTCAAATTCACCATGCACAAATTACTACTTTTGTTTCTAAACATCAGAAGATGGCAAACAAGTATTCTGACTTCCAGCTGTCCTCTTTAAATACAGCCTTCACAGTGCAAAGTGTATATTCTTCGTTTTATAATGCACAAGTGCCATCTTAGTTATTTCTTTCTTTAAAAAAAAAAGAAACACTAAGAAAAAAAAGTGTTCAGCTGCTGCAGGAGAAAGCTTTGCCCTCTACCCCTGAATGAGTACTGGGAGGAATTTTAGGATTTTGTGTCCTCCTTTCCCCATGTTGATATGTCAGAGCAAGGAGGACTTGGTGAAACGGAGCTCTGGCGCCTGTCATCCATCAGGGCTGCCGCAATCAAATATTGTCCAGCAGCAGAAAATCCTAGTTTCCCTGAAGCAACTCCCAGCCTGAGCATTTGCAGGCTGTCTCGCTTCCCTCCTGTTAAGCAGAAGTGGGCTCCAGAGGAAGCTGCCCATTAGAAAGCTTCAGCTGCTCACATGCTCTGCATTTGTACTGTTCAGTGAGATGGTCTTGAAGCTTTTTGTTGTCAGGCACCTCTATGGTTGAGTAGTCACATTGAAAAACAACTGTTGGTGCATTTTAGGCGTGGGGATATTAAGTCGTGTTATATGGTACAGGCATAAGGAGTGAGTGACTCAGCATTTGTAGTCTGAGTCTATAATGAAGAACTGGGGGTGCAGAAGTATCTTCTGTGTTAGCAGTACTCAAAAATAGCACTTTGCTGCTGCAGCCCGATGTTACCAGCTCTCACGTTTTTATCTCAAATCTTGCAGTATTACTTTGATTCCTGACACTGATTCAACAGTTTTCTCAAGGGAGAAGTGGGAGAGGGAAC